AGCGATGAGTTTGCGATATATAGGAAGAACAGAATCCAGTTGGTATGTCCAATCATTGTAGAGCGTCATGCTGCATTATCAAGTATATATATATATATGATATGATTACTGAAAGCTTATTACGTGTTATATAGCATTATTCTATGATTACTTGCAGAGTTTCCAGTCCTTTAAGTTGCGACCATCGCCAGCATGAAGAGCCTTCTGAACATCTGGTATATTATAATACGATTTTGTGTAACCATCCACACATGGGTCATATCCACCCATAAGCCTCGGCATCTGCCAAGAAAATAATCAATAATTCAGTCAAAGGAGTACTTCAAGTCTAAGTTTGTTTTTGGTATAGGGAAATATATTGTTACCAGGTACACTGATTCAGATATGGAAGGAAACATTGATATCAAGTAATCTACTTCAGACTATTGGATTACCTATGCAGGGGACTAGGGGAGCAGTGGTTTGTTGTAGGTTGGGATGACAATATCTTCCACATAGTTGGGAGGGGGAGTTTGCTGGGTTGGGATTTCTTCTTATGCGAAAAATAACTTATGTTTGGACCAAGCATTTTTATATCCAGTATTTATTTTTATTGAGCCCTAATTATTAGGTTTTTGGATGTTTGGCTCATGGTAGTCAAAAACTTTGTACCCAAGATTTGTTATAGTGGAATTGTTGTTGTTGGTGGTCCGTAGTTTTGGAGTTTTCCACATAAATTTTGTATCCTTTCCCTTCTTATTTATTTTGGGCTATGACCGTGTCAGGGTCTGTAATTTTCATTGTTGAGATTTTTCCCAAACACTTCAACGTTAATAAGCAGAATGGGAGGTTGTGAAATTATATTCCTTACCACCATCTTGGACCAGCTTTTGAAGACGACGACTTCTGATGAATTGTCATTTATACAAAGGGATGTATATAGGCTGTACATATCTATCTCCTTGTACTGTTTATATACTTCATCTACAGCCTGAGTACAATCATTATTCCACGTATCACTATTGAAATCACAGGATTTTAAGATTATGTTGTGGGTTTCATCCGATATTATTGCATGGCTCCAAGCATAATCCACTATACCCTTCCAGTCCTCCACATTAGATGTTAAAGGATTGCCAAGCTGCACCAAATTAAAAAAAAAACAATAATTGAAGTATGTGCTCCCTCAACTAAAAGTATTCACAGATTCGAACCTATGACTTTGCTCTGGTTCTGATATCAAATTAAAGAATGTGCTCCATCTCAACTAAAAAACTTAAGCTAATAGTTGGATTGCAAATCAAGAGAACAAGCTAAGTTTTCCCTTTTAATTTATCAAAAGTTTATCAAAAGGAAGGAGGCCGGAGCATACCAGTACTCCTCTAAGATCAATGGAAAGGGAAGGATCTTTGTTTTTCTCAACAATGAGCTCAGCCAACTGAGGTATATACTTCCCTGTCAAACCACGTAACATGAAGATCGATATGGGTGTGCATGAAACCATAAAGAATTTTGAGGTAGGGTGTAACAAATCTATATATATACCTGCATAACTCTCCCCAGCAATATAAAAGGCTCGGGTTCTAAACGATGGGAACTTGAGAAACCACTTGTGCAGGAAAGTATATGCATCATTTGCTATATATATGTAGTAACCATAAAAGGACAAAATGTTTCAGCAAAACAGATTAACCTCCATATAAAACAATCATATATCCAGACCAAAGTGGAAGATCAAAGGTATATATTCAGAAAGAAAGATATATCGATCTCACCTGTAAAATCATCTCCTAGATTGACATAATCAGCACTCGTATTTGTATATGAGAAGCCTACACCGATTGGAGATTCCAGGAATAACAAGTTCGCTTCTGCATCATATCATATCATGAGAGAAAGATCATTATATATCAAGCTTTTTCAGGACTACATGATATTATATATATACTTGTTCCAGAAGAAATGTAGTTTTAGGTAGGCTGAATATAATTACAAGAAATTTAAGCTTGTTCATGTACGAGTGCCAGCCAAACCTCTGTTCCATGAATATGGATTAGCTGTCAAGGCAGATCCATTAGAGTCCACAAGGAAAGGTCCAATCTCTTGTGTTGCCCCATATCCCACAGAGGAACATCCCGGACCTAAAACACACACTATTGTCACTCCACAAGATCGAGAAAAAGAAATCAAAGCTAAAAATACAGTACTGAAAATTATGAAATTTCCAACCACCTGAAAAGCCTTGTTCTGACCACTTTTGGTGTCTGGAAAAACCTTTATAGCTATTTCCGACCACTTTTTACTTTCTACTTGATTAAAGATCAATTTCAGGTTCTCGGAAATTCCATAATTTCCAGTAGTGATATTGAAACAGTAGATGGATTAATCTAGTCAAAGAAATCGTCCTAGCTAGGAATTATTAATAGAATCTACAAGTTACATATATAATTAATAATATATTCTTATTACCTCCATTAAGCCAGAGAACTAAAGGTTTTTGTTCAGGTAGAGTTAAAGATTCATAAAACCAGTAGAAGAGTGCTCTTCCATTACTCTCATTTACTGTCACATACCCAGCATAGTGTTTGAAGCCAACACTAGGCTGCCCAGGCAATTGAGTCACGAGATCAGATATATTCTCGTTAGACCTTTGGGAAAGTCTTGCTGCAACTGCAACTGGTTCAAAAAGAAGCAAGGAAGGAACAAGAAGCAGATAAAAGGAAAGTATCATTTTCAATGCAATATCCAATATTCAGACAAAAAACACAACAGATTTGGAGAAAACCTCTAAGCTAAGAATGCAAGCACACAACTACCCACAGGCCTATATATACTTGCTGGAAAGTATCCAATCCAATGATATCATATGATCAAGGAAATATCTTCTTTTTTTTTTTTTTTTGGAAAATAATCAAGGAAATATCTTTATTATTAGAATTGATATATTATATATGATCAAGGAAATATATATCTTTATTATTAGAATTGATATTGATATATTATCATTACTATTAGAATTAATTTATTTTCTATAGTGATAGCAAATAATTATGATAAGGACCTTTAATGATTCTCCTCTCCGTTTTATGTTTTAGTTAGTTAAAATTCAGAGGTGGGAAAACTCTCAAAACGTTCATATTATCCTTGTTTTCTAAACCCTTTAATTTCTCTCTCAACATAGACATCCCCAATAACCCTAATCACCTTGCAACACGTGCCGAGAACATAACAATATCTATCCATCTAGATGTGAGATTTTAATGTCTAACTGAGGACTCCTACGTAGCAAACTTACTTTAAAATTGAACAAGAATTGTATAGCATCTAGGCATGATCACAGTTCGGACCAAACTAGCCTGTGAACAGGAGGATCAGAACCATGGTCCCGGTTATGGTTTCGAACCTTTAAAAAAATAAAAATTTATTATATATAATGTATTTCTATATATACTAGTATTTTCGCCCGTGAGATGCACAAAATGAATTTGTTGTAATATATTAAGAATATTTGGATCGATATATATCTTTTTATCGTAACATATCTTTAGTTAAAAATTGTACACAGTAATTTAGTTACCATATTCAAATAATTCTTCATTAATTCATAGCATATATGATGTGATAATATTATATCAAATTCGGACATAAAATTACCATATTCAAATAATTCTTCATTAAATTGTAGCATAATATTACCATATTTCTTCATTATTATCATAAAACGTAAAAAAAAAATCCGGAAAATATTAAATATGATTATTAAAACGTAAATAATAATAATAATAATAATTACTATTTTTGTTTTGTATATTTTCCTTTTTTGTTTGGTTATTAGTATTGTTTTGGAAGCTGAAACCCTACAAACATAAAATATATAATATAAATTGCGTAAATTACTTCGTGATATTACACTAACGTAATTAGAAATTGGGTATATTATGTATTAATTACCATATTAATAGTCACTCCTAATGGCATCTGACGTAGATATTAGGCAGCTTCTAGTATTTGGTTATGAGAAAATATATTGTATGAAAGGGTATAAAAAGTTTATAAATACATGTTAGAAGACTTCGAATAGGAAATAAATTCTCATATGCATACTTACCTAAATCCTTAAGACTGCCTAATCTATAGAGATTTCAAATATTATATCTAAATTCCATAACAAATCTATTCACATTTTTTTTTTTTTGAGAACCAATCTATTCACATATTTTAAGGTAAATATCACTTATGATATACAGTAATATGTTTGGGAGAGGGTTTGCTGGCCACTTTGAACATGCACCAAGAGATACAGTTATGGCACACGTACTATAATAAGGTTCTAAAATTAGAATAAAACAAAACCATTATTTTCACCCGTATATAAGCACCCAGTACTAAATTAAGCTTCTGTTACAATGTCTATGACACATTTATGCATAAATAAATAAACTATTTCCAGCACATCCATATTTTAGTGCATGTTCAGTATGGTCTTACAAGTCATTCTTCAAGCCATGGAAGTGACTATTAATCATATAACTATTAATGTGCAGTCCAACTATCAGCTTAGACTTTTAGTTGAGATGGAGCACATGCTTCAATTTGATATCAGGTCATGGGTTCAAATCTTTGCGTAACACCGCAGTATATATATCCCAAATTGATGGTTTCTTTAGTGTACAAAAGAACAAAAAAAAAAAAAAAAAGTTGATCTGAGCCGTTTTAGGTAATCTCATCATCAAAGAGAAGAAAAAGGAATTTTGTGGCCAATTCAGTATCAAAAGATTGTCATGAGGCCAGGAGTTCAGACTAATATAATCCAATCCAACTTGAATCATTTTTCTATTTCAGCCAATCAATAGTACGAGGGAAGACAGTGAATCCAGTCAAGGAAAACAATGTACTTTCTGCCTAAAAGAAAAAATGAAAAATAAAATAGAAAGTGGCTTGGGTCACTTATCCTATCCCTAACACACATTTTATTAGAATAGTCTTAAGCCTATTGTTAATAGTCTCACATTGAAAAAAAATGAGAAACATATGGGTTTATACGAAAATTAGCAAACATATCATCACAATGCATAGTATAGTTACAATGATAAGCCAAAATCAAGAAAGTTAAGCACCACCATTTCACATAGCTTCAGGATACATTTTCTCCTTTCAGACCAGAGAATCAAAGCCTCGAGTCTTGCTGACAGAAAAGGCGAAACTGCTGGAAACGCCTGCATTATCAGATCGTGCACCAGAAGAAATGTTTAGCCTAGGCAAAGCGTCCATAGTTTCCTAAATGTATACCTGTAGTTCTTCCATAGAGAAACATATAGAGGGACGTATGAGACTGCAAATATGGTGACTGAAATGAACGACATGCTGGACAACGCGATTTTTGTCCAACATTCCTTGTTTCTTATCATCAGGATCACTGTTGCTGCAAATGCAAGTTTCAGAGCTGATTCATATTTATCGAATTTCATCCGGATACGTTCCAACAAGGGAATGCTGATAAATTTTGGAGCTTCATTACAGAACAGAAGTCAGTAACAAGAAAGGGAAACCAGTGGCTACTCTAACCTATCAAGATTAACATCACACTGACTCAAAAATTTGTGTAATTCTCAAGACTCCGGTAATGGAAAATTGAAGTGACAAACAACTTACAAGGTCAAGAACAAAAAGATATTTTTTGTCTCAAAGAAAATAATTAAAAATAACAATTAGAGAGAACTTGGTATAAGTATCATACTAGAGTTAACAAGAAGCTTGATAAATCTGTTTTTCTTGCCAACTTTGAAGGCAGATGGATTTAATGCAAGGAGCTGAAGAGCAGTCATCCCATCTCCATCTTGTTCACCGATTAAGCACCCATGCCTTTGAGGAATACAAAGGGCGAGGTCTGTTCATCATAGGATTTGCGAACAATGGTAAAAGACTAGAACTTGCAACCAATAAGAAGCAGAGCTTAACTACTTTAGATGTAAATAAATAAAGACAGTAATCAACTTACCAAAATGCTCCATAAGTACAGACTGGTGGAGTGTGGTTGATCTGTCGCTGCTTCTGTAATGAAATGCATCCCACTTGTCTTCATCACCCTCGACAACCTTTTCAACTTCCTTGTCTAGGTAGAAACTTAGTTTCTACCTAAGCATATATGCTTGTTAAGGGTGCATTTTAATGGCAACAAGTTGACAGCAAAGAAAGCGACAGACACTGAGAAGCATCTCATGCTTTTGCTAGCATCATATTGATTGTGGAAAGTACGAAACGTAATAATCATGGCAAGAATTATCATCAGTGACTAACTCTGTGACAAACCAACAGTTCAAAACTGAATCTTTCATCATATAAATGTGATTTTTTTTAGCAACACTTCTGTCCACCCTAGTAAATCTTCTAATTCAATGCATCCAAGATTTCTGAACAAATATGATGGATTTCATTAACAAGCCTACGAATAACAACTAGCAGTTTATTTGGCTCATTTAGACCATTTTTCACATTCAGAAGTACAAGTACAAGGCTTGAAAGGCAGGGGACATACTAGAAGAAAATAATTCTGGAATTAGTCTAAGGCTTCAAGAGGGGGCTGTCTTCCTTGATCAGCACAAAGATACTGCCCGCCTCTCCTCTTGAAATCCGAAGCTCGCTGTCCAGGTAGGTAGTTAAAAGCCAGGACTCAGCATTGCTATTGGCAAGGGAAAACTTCAATGGCGGTTGGCTAGAGATGGACTTCACAACTGAGGAAGCCGTATCCTGGAGAGAAGTAATCAAACCTTTGAAAGGGGTGAGATCAATCTTTTGTCCCAAAAATTCTACATTCTCAGGTAACACAATGGAATCTGTCAGCTGTGGAGTCCCAATAATGCCTTCTTCAAACTTTATCTGAAAGTTGGCATATAGAAAATGGGTCCATAAGGAAGGTCAATTCAAGAAAAGTATCCTGCAATATTCCAGGAATGAGAACTTGGCATTATTGGAACTGAGAAGCAAGAATAAACCTGCACACGCTTAGGGCTTCGGACTTCAAACTTGGCATTGGTACTAATGGAAGTGGTAGCCAATGGTCCAGAAAACACAACAGAGTTCTGAACAGTGAAGCTTTCTGAATCAATGGTTTGACATATTTCTTCAACTCTGACCAGAGGGAGTGTGCCCCTTGATAACAATGGGAACAACCCAATAAAAGACGTGTACCTGGATAAACATCTCACAAAAGGCTTGTTTATTAATGGAAGAAATGGAAAATCAGAGAAAGGAAAACGAAAATAAGTTTACTTGTCCGTTTTCCAACAGAAAACAGAGAATGTAAGTTCAGAATTCACCAATATTCGTCGACTCTCCGAGGCACCCACACCCTATCCCGACAGTATAATGGAGAGGTAAATCACGGTAACTCTAATTAGGTGGGAAGACCATGCCTGGTGTCACAGGGAGCCCATCACATGTCCTTGCCCACAATCTACCGCACAGGAACCAATTGAGCTACCCATGCGGGCATTTTCTTAGAAAAACTTAACCAATGCAGTAGACTAGTAAACCTAAGATAGATTCACAATCCTCTATAATTTCATTACTTGATCTACCAAAACAAAATCCCAAGATTTTTCACATCAAGCTGTTTACTTTATACATTACTGAAATATCAACTAAGGTTCAACAGACTCAACAGTGTAGCCATACAACGAGAAGGATGCCTGGCTTTCACCCAGGAGATAGATTCGGGTCGGCTCCCGGAACCGGAAAATGATTATTTTAACAATTTTCCAGTATTTCAACTTTATGAACCTAAAAGCACTTTTCCAGTACTGATATAAATATAATTATACAATCAATAACACAGATCTTCAACACAAAACTCGAATCTTTCGCTGACTAATTTATTGTAAAAATGAATTACTGAGTAGTTAAATTAAGGGAACTTACGCAAGAACCCATTTGCCGTTGAGGAGAGTCAGCGCCTCCGTGGGCGCCGGAGTCGGGTTCTTAGCCTCCAGCTGCGTGATAAGCTCGACGACCTCCGCCCTAGTCTCGCTGCTAGCGCTCAATCCTCTATTGGTCCCGTAGAAAGAATCCACCAGCTGTTTCTTCAACACATCGGTTTCAGTCAGCGCGGCCGGTTCGTCTTCTACCACTGCGACGCCCGCCGGAGCTGCGGACAGAGGCTCCTTTTTTTCCTCGCCCCACTCATCATCGCTAACGGCCCGGACGACGAATTTCCTATTCGGGTTCGCCAATCCCCTGTTCGGGAATGACCTCAATGCGGCCACTTTCGACGCGAAAATCGTCGAATTCACCGGAAATACAGAGGGTTTCGGGGTGGATGAGGATCGTGGACAGATCATACCGACGGGTTTGCAATGGAATTGAGTGAAAGATGAAATCGACGCCATTTTTGATCAGTTTCGAGCGCTGAAATTCGATGCCTATGAGAAAACAGAATGGTTTGAATATGAAACAGAGGAAGGACTATATACGTAACTATGTAACAGACAGCCAACTCAATTGTCTGGTTATAGTGAAAAAGACATAACTGCCCTCCCAATATAACCGGTGTTTACACATTTCTCTCACCCACAAAAAACGAAATTAATTCTCACTAATTCACTGCCTCATATATTTACAAAAAGTCCATCAGATTGAATGTAACTCAAATAACGAAGTTAATTCTCACTAATTCACTGCCTCATATATTTACAAAAAGTCCATCAGATTGAGTGTAACTCAAATATTAAAATTATCAAGTTTGATTTTACAATTTATTATCTAAAAACTAATTGAGCTACCCCTCCTACTCGTAGGCCGCAGCAGCTATTTACTCATTTCTCTAATTTTTGTCTCTTTAATTTTAATTTATTATTATCAAAAACTTATCAAGAAAAAATGAGGATAAAGAAATTGATGCAAACATGAGGAGGGGCAATTTTGGTGTTTGAGATGGATTTGTTCAGGAATGAAAATTGGACACGTTTATATACCTTGTGTGGATTTGGCCTAGAGTTTGGGAATAGAAACAAACAAGGAATACAAAGTGAGACAAGCAGATTTATACTTCTAGAGATGTCTACTTAATTAACATTTTGAGTGGCTTGGTGACCCAAAAGGATTATATACGGTTAAAAATGCTTATAGACTGTTGGAGATTTTGGTATGGTATTTTTGATAAATGGATTACATTGTGGAAATTAAAGGTCCCCAAGTAAAAAAAAAAAATTTATGGAGAGCTTTGTGTGATATCCTTCCTATCACAAACAATTTACTTATAAAGAGAGTAGAAGTGGAACCAACATGCTCAATGTGTGGTTTAATTCATGAAGATGTTATACATTCACTTGTTTCTTGTGATTATTCTAAACTTGTTTGGAATGTTACGGAGTTACCCATCACAAATATTGTAGCTGATTCTTTTCCTGTATGACTCATGGGTGCGATGATTATTTTAACAGACGAACAATTTTGCATGGTGGCTGCGGTGCTTTATCATTTATGGGCTCATTCAGAGCGGTGACGAACGGCAAACTCCCGGGCTGTTTTTCACCCCTAATAGCAGAGGCACTCGCTTGCAAAGAGGCCTTATCCTGGCTTTAAAACCGAAACGAACTCGATGTGGATCTCCTCACAGACTGCTCAGAGTTACAAAGTTCCTTAAGTTTAAGTCCTGCGACTATTCTATCTTTCATCGGGATGGTTGTAGACCAGTGCCGGGCAACTTTGGCTTTATTTAATTATTGGTCTTTAAATATTGTCTCTAGATCGATTCATTTACATGCTCATACTTTAACTTCGGTAGCTTTCAATCAGGATAACTCTATGTATTGGGACTTTGTCCCTCCTGACTCTATTGCTTCTTTCATTCATTAATATATGCCAATGCGGTTGGTTTTCAAAACAAAACAAAAAAAAAAAAAAAAAAAAAAAAAAAAAAAAAAAAGCCATTTTTGAGTGGCTAAGATAGTTACATGGTGCAAAAAAAAAAAAAAAAAAAAAAAAAAAAAAAAAAAAAAAGCCATTTTGAGTGGCTAAGATAGTTACATGGTGCAAGAGTATAATTTCTTATCCATTTTGTAGTATTTAAAGTTGTATAAAAAAAATACTCTATGTTACAAATTTGACTGAGTGAGTATGAACAATAATTAAATTCATAACTTTGTGCTATTAGAATCATGTTCAACTAATCCGTCCACCTTGATCTTTCAGAGCAAATTTAATTTTGATAATATAGTATAGTGTAGATTGTGACAATATATAAATAGTAGTAATAAACAATCGTTATGCTGTCGAACCGTGTCCACTTGCAAGGTGGACACGATTCTATGTTCATAATTACTGAACTATATGTTAATAATTATAAAACTATATATTCATAATGTTTAAACTTATATTCATAATTACTGAACTCTATATTCACAATTACAGAACTATATGTTCATAATTATAAAGCTATATATTTATATTCACAATTATTAAATCTCTATATTTATAATATTTATAATTATGTTCATAATTATGTTCAGGCAATTTATATCCTACACCACGGCGCGCGTTGCACTATGCGCTCAGATGCAAAACGACGTCGTTTTAATTATTTTATTTTTTGAAATTTCCTGTCCCAATGAATGGCAGTAGTTTTTTCTTAAAAAAAAAAAACCCGCTGTTCAAGAATGTACATAATGTTATACTAGAATACACATAATGTTATACATGAATGTACATAATTATATAACAAAATATACATACTCTTTTTAAAAGATAATACACATAATCTAACATAATACATAATAAACATAAACTTTTAACATAATACACATCAACTCTTAACATAATACACACAAATTTTCTGATTCGGATGTACATAATTGTATAAAAAATACACATAACTGTATGAACCAATACACATAACGTTGTGAACAAATACACATAATCTCAGCAACTTCCTACCGCGCCTCCCAACACTACCCCAAAACGACGTCGTTTTGGGAGGCGCGCGGCGCACAATGCTATGTGCGCCGTGGTGTAGGATATAACGATTGCACAGTTAATATGTGCGAATTGGGCTTGCAATTGATAAATAACTTATTTCCTAAAGGCATGTTAGCCAATATATAAGGCCCAACAAAAGAGCACATCGCACTTAGCCACCTCACTGGCAAATTATTGTATGGACCATGGTCCACACAATGTTATGTGGACCATAATAAAAAATACATTTTTAATATAATGAATGTACATTATTTTTGTACTGAATGTACATTATACAATATAATGTACACCCAGAACAAAAATAATGTATATCCCCTAAATATAATAAACATTATTTTTATACCGAATATACATTATTTTTGTATTAAATGTACATTATTTTATAGAAGACAAAATATGATCCACACAACTTGTGTGGACCATGGTCCATACAATAATGATTGCAGCTCACTAGTCACGCAATCGTTATGCTATGGACCCGTATTCAGCATGCATTGTGGACACGGGTAACGGTGCCATTAGTGGCACTGTTATCTTCCACTTGTTTTTTAGACCGCTTCGTTATAAGAGTATATGTTCATAATTTTATCACTATATGTTCATAATCGTAAGTTCATAATGTCATAGCTCTGTGTTCATAATTCCATAACTGTACATTCATAATTTCGTAACCGTACATTCACAATTCAATAACTGTAAATTCATAATTTTCAAATCTCTATGTTCACAATTTTAGAACTCTATGTTCATAATTTTATCACTATATGTTCATATTGTAAGTTCATAATGTCAGAGCTCTGTGTTCATAATTCCATAACTGTACATTTATAATTTCATAACTGTACATTCATAATTCCATAATTGTACATTCATAATTCCCTAACTGTACATTCATAATTTTCGAAACTTCTTGTTCACACTTTTAGGGCTCTATGTTCATAATTTTATCACTATATGTTCATAATTGTAAGTTCATAATGTCAGAGCTCTGTGTTCATAATTCCATAACTTACATTCATAATTCCATAACTGTATATTTATAATTCCATAACTGTACATTCATAATGCCACAAACGAATAACGCTGTTAACACCTTTAACGGCGAGACAAACTCAATTTTTTTAAAAAAACTAGAATACCGCATTTTTTCTGAAAACGACATCATTTTGGACTCGTGTCCACACAGCATAATTTGCGCTAGTCACGAGTGCAAATAGTGACACACAGCGTACACTGAGTCCAAAACTCAATAGAAGAACTAATTGGGGTGTTTGGTTGGATGGGTTGATCAAAATACATATGAGGTTCCTGTATAAAGTGATGTAATTAAAGACAATAATTAATGATGTTAATATTATTGCTAGCTTAGATTACGTGACGCTGGCGATATTTATATTCCTACTCATATATTACTTTATAAATATTTAAAATTAATTATTTTTACCACCAATATATTAAATTAGTATGTCTAAAATAAATAAAGAGAAAGAAATGACCATAATCGCCTTCACCAAGGCTCAAACCCACCACCCCACATAGGGGAGCAACTTGGCACCATTAAATCATACAGACCTTGGTAAATTATTTCTCACTGAATAATAGTTATTTCCCCTCTAATTTTATTCTTCTAACCAAACGCTCTGTAATAGTCAATTAGAGGTAGAGAAATGCGATTTCGATAACTATAATCGAAGTGAGTAGGATATTTACGTAATTTGATGTAGAGAACAGATAAATTACACAATTTGATGTAGACAAAAGAAAATGATTTAGACAATTAACAACATAAACTTTGAAATGGTCAATGACAAATACTCAGAGTTATAGTAATATATAATTTTGAGTTAAAACCTTTGTAGTTATTGAAGACTATAAAATTGATCTGTCATATTATAAGTTAATAATATATGATTATGTTAGACTATACTATTTTTTGTTTTTGGTAAATATGAAGGAAGTAGTTGAATAGAAACACTATAAACAACTGTGTATTTAGTAGTATTTTTTTTTTTTTTTTTTTTTTTTGCGGTGATTTTTAAACACCTTAAAGAAGTTTGCGGCATTTAGGCAACCGCTAAATATATGTATGTCACGAAGGTGATTTTGCAGCAATTTTAAAGAACCATTGGAAAAAGTGTTGCCAAACTGCAACGATTCTCAAACTATTTTTATATAGTAGCACTTAGCTTAGCGGTAATTCCAAACCCTTTAGATTGAGGACTCCTAAAAATATGCAAGTCACATTGGAAGTAATCATAATGTGTGACCATTTAATATGTCTAAGTATTTGACTCGGTGTAAATGTGTCTGCTATAATTTCACTCTATAAGATCTTTTATGACTTCAAGCAAGTGATAGTGATAATTTATAACATTGTTATCATGCTTTACTTTGTGGTGGAGAATTTTAGGATAACCTGGGTTTGATTTTTACAAGTGACGATTTTCTTTGAATCAGTCCCGTATCTCCTAGAGCGAACGGGAATTAGTCGGGTGACCCTGGACCGTTAAACAGACAGAAAAAAATCCTGACCACCTCGTGGTTTACCGTTTACACCATCATACTTTACTTTGTTTATTGCTACAAAAGAATTGCTTTTCAATTGAATTATTTAAAAGTCTTTATTCCAAGATAATAAAATACATGAATAAGTTGTTCAAATTTCTACTATGAGATACAAATGAATTATCCAACAAATATTTGAGTTTCATTAAAAATGTTTTTTTTTTTTACACTCACCACACCCAAAAAAAAAAAAAAAAAAAAAAAAAAAAAAAAAAAAGTAGGCTTAAAAAGACAGGAAGGAAAAAACAATATATAACCAAAACAAACAAAAAACAAAAAAAAGTTGACAACTTTTAAAACCAAATGCAAAACAGCCACATGGGAAACCTTGGCCATCGTGCCTGCCTGCTTCCATGGCTTTTGACTTACTTCTGGCCGGCGACTGCACACTGTACGCAAATGAAAATTTCAATACAAATCCACACACTCACCTATAACAAATAAAATTTCACTGCAATATAATATCATACATTTTTTTTATATTTTAATTTTAAACAATATTTAATCATATAAAATATAATTTTCAAATATAAGAAATTTTTTTATATTTTATATTAGGATTATCATAATATTTTAATAGGTAGACATGTTTTTTTTTTTTTTTTTTTTTTTTTTTTTTTTAAATACGAGCAAATGGAAAATAAAGTTACAAAATAACATTTTTTTGAATGCTACGGGCTCTTTTACAATGTAGTATCTGCACCTCCTGAAATACTGAAGCTCAAACTCATAACTTTCTAAATGAAAGTTCAATCCGGGTACCATTAGACCACATAGTCTTGATAGTTACAAAATAACATAATTTAGACATAGCATCAAATCTCAATCATGTATATATATGTCATACATGATTCTATCAATATTATGTACCCTATAGATGTCGCTATGATAACACAACCCCTAGTTGAATTAGTATGACAATTAATTTTAGTAATCATAAGATTTTAAGTTTGACTTCTGGTAAAAATTACTACTGACAATCTTAATTAATTTGAACCAATTAGGTATATCTTCCCCTCAATCAACTACAATAAAACTCTACCCAGTCTAATCTACAGATGTCAGTTTTTAATTGAAAATTAGTTAGCATTATATGCACGTTTATCCAGGTGTTGTTCCTTTAATACGTAATCATTGGATAAACAAATCCCATTTAGTCTAAACTAACTAGAAAAACAGCCTCTAACCAGCCCCACCATGATTCCTTTTTTTCTTCATCATCTTTTTCCCCTTCTTCCTTTTTGTCCCTTGTTTCCATCCTCAATCAAATTAAAGCATCTGCAGAATATTTCCACGCTGTACAATATATATTCTATATACTACCACAAGTCCTAGTTTTCTACAAAAAAGCAAGAACCGTTGACGAGCTCGTGAAATACATATATATATTATTCCATCTTAATTATTAACTCATCACTTTCTCTCCCTGTGAACTCTATTACACAGGCGGTGGTTTGCTCGGCTCTCTGGCGGTGCCCTTCAATTTCTTCATTCTTTTTACGTATGTTTGTTCTCTTTCTTCATCGTTTCTTTCTCTCCGCGTACATGTATGTATATATGCGTGTGAATGAATATAATGTGTTTCAATTCCAGAAATGGGTGAAATCTTGTGTTTTGGATTGCAGGGGAAGGGAGAAATGGACGGCGGCGCCGATCGACTGGTGAGGCGGCGGAAGAGTCTGAAAGAGCGGTTGAGTTTCAAAGGGATCAACTGTTGCGGCGCCTCGTGGGGTTTGGTGCCGGCGACTATAAGCGTTCGCGACGACGACGACGAAGATGATGGTGAGGAGGAAGGACAAGAAGTCGGGCCGCGGGCGGGCGCGCAGTCTCCGCCGGCATGTGCGGCGGCCGACACGCCGACGGGCTCGGGGATGAACCTGGCGGCGGCGTTGGCGGCGGAGCGGCAGTACAGGGCGGTCCAAGATTCGGACGTGGAAGGTCAGAGTCAAATAATCCCGGCGGCGGCCGAAAACAGCGGGCCGGGGAGCACGCCGCTCAGAGTTTCGTTGATGAGGTTGCTGGAGGAGAACGACGGGGAGACGACGGCGACGGAGAAGGAGAGCCGGCCGGGAAGTGACGCGGTGTGCTGCGTTTGCATGGGGAGGAAAAAAGGCGCGGCGTTCATACCATGTGGACACACTTTTTGCAGAGTGTGTTCGAGGGAGGTGTGGCTAAACCGAGGTTCATGTCCCCTCTGCAACAGATCCATCCTTGAAATCCTCGACATTTACTAAGATTTATTGGTCCTGGAGATTTGTGTACACAGCTTTCGACCCCATCAATTTCATCAAAATCACACAAATATGGCATCTCTATATATACCCACAAAAATAGAAGCAAAGCAGGAAGAAACTACTTAAATAAATGTAAATTATTTTGATTTTGACAAAAGTGAATCATTATTGTAACACTATCAGACTGAATTGCAAACTAAAATGTCCATTTTATTTTATTTTTTCTTTTTAAATGCAAGTGAATGGCAAGGATTACACTTACAAATCTTACACAATCAGCTTCATTTTTCTATTTCTTTTTTCCGCTCAAGTGTTTTTTTTTTTTTTTTCACATAACTTGCATTTTCCTCTTCATTGCTTCTTCCTTAACATCACTGATGCAACATACAATTTTATAACGCATAAAGTACATTATTCTAACTCGTAAAATATATTATCTTACCCCATAAAGTTCATTATTATTCTAACCAATAAACTACATTATTCTAACTTACAAGTCATAATGTCCATTATCTAAATACATGATGATCAGTTTATCAACACCTAAGAGCTTAGAATAAAGTACATTTTTATATATAACTCTTAAAATACATTATTTTAAAACATAAAGGACATTATTATAAACCATAGACAATTGCAAAACTTACCAAAGGTACATTATTCAAACCAATAATGGACAGCTCATGAACACTTAATTAATAACTTATCAAACATACATTTATATAACTCATAAAGTACTTTATTTTAACTCATAAAAATATATTATTTTACCCAAGAAATCCATTATACTAACACATGCATAAACAACTGATAATACATAAACGATGTCGTTTTGAGTCGTGATCCACACAAGAATTTGTTCCCCAAAATCATTTCGGGCCTTTGATCGGATAGTCTGTCTGTAGGAGGATCAGATAACGAATGGTTCCATTCAAAAGCCCAATGAGCCAGAGAATACTCTTTCGCTATCCATTTTCTATTTTGGGTAGTTCAACATTAAAAAGCAATCGAGCCGTAATCCTTAAGAAGTGGGCTTAGTGCTATACAACCTAATCACCTCAATTGATGGTTCAATTCTAATAATTTGTTGTTCTCTTCTATCAATCTCAATTCATATTCGATCAGATTCAGAACTCTATAACCTGAAGCATACATATAAGAGTTGATTGGCAAATTATGCTGTGCATCCATATGCACATGGTGCATATGGATGCAAAAACGACGTCGTTTTATTAAAAACGTGCTGTTTCATTTATAAAAAAAAAAATAAATTCAGTTTCGATTCCCAGCAATAACATTATATTTTGCATAATTTGAACTAAAATTCCAGAATTGATGAACTAAAAATCCAGAATCGATGAACTAAAATTCCAAAATCTATTAACTAAAATTCCAAAATCTATTAACTAAAATTACAGAGTGAATGAACTAAAAATCCAGCATGAATGAAAAAAAATCAGTTTCGATTCACGTCTAAATATCCATAATTAATGAACTAAAATTTCAGAATCTATGAACTAAAATTCCAGAATCTATGAACAACATAATACTGTTGAGGGGAATCGAAACTGAGATTTTTTTTTAAAGTGGGATGCGCGTTTTTAATAAAACGATGGCGTTTTTAATAAAACGATGTCGTTTTTACATCCGTTGGTGCATACAAATGCACAACATAACGATCCGAGTTAATTTCCTGATTCGACTTTATAATTATATTAACAGTTCCCGAATTACTATGTTGTATTAATCGACAAGTTCACTTATTAATTATATACACAAGTAAGTTGTCCGACTTTATAAAACACGCTAGTTTATGGTTTGTGAAGAAGCTCATTTAAAATTAATCAAATCAAGCACAACAAAAGCAATATAGCGAATATTAAGCTAACCAAATTTGAACCCAATAATACACCCAAAATTCCATGGTTTAAATTACTTATAAGTTAAATAAGTCGAATCCAAATACACCCTTACGCGGAAGTGCATTCATGTGTATCTATCTGCATGAGCACATGCTCCACCATTGCCAAACCACAAGAATTCTCTTTTTCTCTGTGCAATAATGTACCCTATTTGACAAACGACAATACAATTGATTAATTCTACCTAAAATCAAACAAAAATTTATTAATCTTGACAAACAACATATGCTTAGGTCTTGTGCCGAGAACATCTGCTTGTGTTGAGCTTCTTATGCACAAAAATATACAGTTTAGTTATGGATCTTGGAAGCGGGTTCATGAGATTCAGAAATTAGTTCGACAAAATTAAGTTACATCGATTATAAAAGAGTTTTTTTTTTTTTTTTTCTCAATTTTTATTTTCAAAGAAAGTTGGCTGGGGGTCAGCATCACAGAGACCAACCAGGAAGGAACTTACTTGGAGAAGCGAAGCAAAGTGTTGAAGAATGCAAAGGTCAAAGAGTCAATCTTTGTTTAAAAGCATGAAAAATGACACATCAAAAATGGGATCTAACTTTGGCAGGGTCCCATTCTGATTTTTCGATATCTCACGTTGGTGTCACCTTTATGATTTTGTACCACCTTTGATGATTTGATGTTATCTACAATATAATCGTATTCTTTCGCATCATTTAATTTGTAATTTGACAATGAACTATTTCCATTGATAACACCACCCAATTAATTATATAAGAGCATCGATCTCCATTAGAGAAATTTCGAATCAGATTTTGAGGAGAACTGAGTGAGGTAAAGGAAAGAGAGAGAATGAGTAAGCTCCTCCTGCAAATTGTGAATTTGTGTGGGCCCCACGACACAGTGAACAAGAAGCAGTGCACGTATCCTGAACAAGGACGCCCAGTCGGGTGCCCGCTGGCGCGTCAGCACTATTTATTTTATTATTATTATTATTATTATTATTTTTTTTTTTATTTTTTTTTTGTTTCTGAAAAGTCAGTTTTTTTATTTTTTTAATTTCCATTTTTCATAGTTTTTATTTCTTCTCATTTCTCTTTTCTAATAACAAATGTAAAGACTTTTCAAAAATCACACCAAAAGGCCCACTATTGACGATGCCCGAATAATATTGTTCAGAAACATCTCAATCGAGTTGACCAATTAATCAAATTGACAATCACAAATGTTTCAAGTTTAACTATATATGAGAACGGTTTAAAAACCTATAATTGAATTGACAGAAATTTTCGTAAAAACTATCTGAAAATCTTTTTAATTATTTTAGTTATTTGTCAAAAATGGATGGAAACTGACCATCACACACATCCCTATACAATATACTACGGAGTAATATAGTATATCTTATCTATGTTGCTTACGTTAAATCTTTTACTATTTGATATGTTTCCCTGTTAGATTCTGGTATAGTAGGTGTATGAATTCGCAGTTAATTTAAGATTTATGAATCGAACTTTTATTTACTCTTAACGTACCAAACTGTTACACCTCATATGCTATGAAGCTTCGGAGTTTTCGAGAACAATAATGTGGATAGCATTGATTGATTTCCTGTCGTTTCCTTTTCAAGAAAGTGACCGTGATTGATGATCTACCGGCCTATACAAATACAGCCAGCTAGAATTCTCCCATTTCTTCTCCCTGTGATCAAGCGGCATAGATGTGATCTTTCAAATAAGAGGTTCTAAGTTCAAACCCAGTATATAGACATTGACTCTTTGTGTTTAAATAGATTTATAAGTTTGAACTTTAATAGAGACTGACTGTATTAATTCTTTGTACTTCAATAACTTAAAAAAGAAGAAAATGTTGTACCACACATAAATACAGTATGGCACAGTTAGATCGAACTAACGAACAAACACAACAGCGTCGTCCGTTCGATAGTTCATATGCAATCTATGTCGCCGCCGAGATTCTCGGCGACCTGCCCAGTTTGAATCATGTGATTTCTCTCAGTTGTAATGCCAAACATTTTTTTTTTTTAATTTTTTTTTTTTTTTTTGTGGGTATGGAGGGGATTATAGAAGTATACGGTCAGACATCATAACATGACACGACTAGCTAAGAATAATAATATATAAATTAATGATCTAATCATTGAACTTAATTGGCAGGTAAATGAACCTACACTATTTAGGATCATTGAATAAAATATTATCTTCCACTAACGTTCTCATTTTGCCTCAAAAAATAATTATCTGTTAAAATAATACTAAATTGAAGCATGTATTGCATCTCAATTAGAAATAATTTAAAATCATAATTAGATTAAATATTTATATTTATATAATGAGTTTTATTATGCGTACTTTCAAATTCTACTTTTTTACTTGTACTTTTTAAGGTGACAAACAAGGATTGATTATTTTTATTATGTGGGTCCACTGAAAAATACCTACATAAAAAACGCATGAGAGGAAGTATAAGTTGGGAGTACACCAAGTATTTTCCATAGAGAGTAATATTTTTTTCCCATTTAATCTTCTAATGAAATTAATGCATGGGTCTGTGGATTTCTTATAGGATGGGTGTAGCTTCGATCTTGACCGCTGAACTATGTGCTGCGCTGTTGATTTGTTGGCAAAGGCATGCAAAAGGAGTTATTATACTAAGAGGGTACAAAGATTGAAGTATTTTGTTTCATTTTAACTAAAAGTCTAAGCTGATAGTTAAATTGTACATTTATGTTTAATTATGTCCCCTCTCACGTGTGCAAGTCGATTACTTATTGATAAGCTTCAAGCAACACGTGTACCATAGTCATAGGGTTAGCTCTGATACCAAATTAAAGCATTTGCTCCATCTCAACTAAAAGGCTAAACTAATAATAATTGAATTGTACATTTATGTTTATATATTATATATGTTCAACAACGAATTTCACGATTACCAACACGATTTTAGTTAAACTCGTGGTATAAGGTCTGATTTGTGGTATACTATACAAAAGTAAGGTTTACTACCCGGTCACATGTTTGATTCTTCCCAATCAACATCATCTCAACCGAAATAAAAGCAAAGTTTATTTATGTACACTTTAAAATAGTAAACGCAGATTTATTTCACCACCAAAAGAAAATAAAAACACACACTCACAGAGCATCAACTTGACAAATGCTTTGCAGGCAAATGCAACAAAAGAGAATGATTCAAAGAAAGGCATCAACCAATCGGATAAATTAAAGAAAACAACACACACATACATAGGATAATGAACACACACGTAATATAATATAATATAATAACCGATGAAACCCACCATCCATAACAGAA